ACAATCAAAACAGAAGAGATTTCTAAATCATTGCATTTGCGGCATTATAATCGCTACAAACACGGCATCATCTCTGAGATGATTGATCTTGATGGCTGCGACAACAACATGACTAATATTATATTAGCAACTATTAGAGATGCTGATGAGCAGTGAAATGATTTCAGAAATAAAAGGTTGGACTTAGTTGGTGAGTTGCTTGGTAGAGAGCTGTGGGCAACTATTCATCTAAAAACACTATGGATGTTGATTCCCGTTAAGTTCCAACGACTAAAGCTACAATCAAATAGCTTTCGCGCCGACAATCGAAAGCGACAAATAGGAGACTTTTCACACAGATCGAGAAGAGTTACAATTCAACGACGCTTCCGACAGCTAACGAAAACTCTATTCAGTGACCTTCATAATCAACAGTGAGAGTTACAATCTGACGACTCTCATATCCCATAACAGGCAAAGATCAATAAGCAATGGCCTTTGCAATGTCATAATAGACGAGGTTACAAGTCAACAACCTTGATCGGCTTTTAACAAGAAAACCGCATAGGATTGAGGGGAGCGGGTATCAAAACCACTTAAGGTTAACAAATCTCAGCAGTTCAACAGCACGAAGAAGGAGATCTTTTGAAGATCAATGAACTGATCAACGATCAGTTAATCAAATCCCAAAGGATCCTTTCGTCAACGTCATAATACACTTGGCAATTAACCGAATTTTCGGTTCCAACAACTCTTTCACAGAGTTTTAACTCGCTCTGAGTTTATTTCTGAAACTCATTTAGGAGTTCGTGATTAAGCTTGCAACCCAACTTAATCACATCAAACCAGACATTCGGTTTTCAACAACTCTTGTCAGAGTTTTCAACTCGTTCTGAGTTCTTTATACTCGTCAAGAGTTCTAAACCGAATTCATCAAGCAATTCAATCGGTTTCATGAGATAAGACGGTCGGATCGTCAACGGAGAGCAAGTTCGACGCGATCAATCGAAGGAGGCACTCCACCGCTACCAAGAAGAACCCAGTTTTAAACAAAGGGGAGAATCAAATTCATTCTCCTCTCTTTTATAATCGGAATCCAAATTGTAATTGATTTTGAGAGAAATACAAGTCAAAATTTTCTTTCATTGTCTTTCTACTGCAAATTTCCAACAAACAAGTGGTCCCTCCACTATTTTTTTGTAGTGGAGAGGATCCGAATCCATTTAAATCAAGCCCACATGAAACAACCTACGCATCAAATATTACATAGGGACCCGCAGCAATTCTAAATAGGAAATCTACCTTCAGTGAGCATCCAATCCAGAGACTTATGGTTCATGATATTAAAGATCATGCGTTGAATTTGATTATGAATGCTCTGTTCTATGTGACAAGTTGATACACGTAGTTTCTAAATAGACTCCAATGTTGGGATATGAAATTAGATTAAGAGAAATCTTAAGTTTCATACAAGATCAATACATGATACTAAAGATCATGCGTTGAATTTGATTATGAACGCTCTGTTCTATGTGACAAGTTGATACACGTACATTTTCAAACAAGATCAATACAAGATCCAATATATATATATGAGCAATATGGAGGAACTTGATACCAATCATAATTTTTGTGATTGGTAGTAAGGTGGCTATCCCATCTACTTATTCAAATGAGGGACCACATTCACATGGATTGGAGAGTGGATGAGAATGAGACACCTCACTATTGAGCACAAAGGTTGTGTTTGGTACCACGTTCATCACCTTATATTTAATCTAATGTAGCACCAACAAAACTACATTATATGCTATCAAATTATTCGATCCACTCTGTTCATTTTGATTTATATGTTTTGAATTGTATACAAATAAAAAGCTCGTCATATTGGGTTGTAACTACTCATGCATCAAATAATTGTAAAATTAATGGTTTTACGACAATATAGGTAAACGGACAATGAAATATATGCGTTAGAATTATTTAATCATTATGATTTTTATTTTATAGATATTTTAAGACATTTAGATCACGATGAATGAAGCGGGTCATCAATTGGGATAGTCTAATTCATGAATCAAGAAGCTCTTCCTTTGATTGAATCTAAGCTGCCTTACTCTAATATAATATATATATATATAATATATATATATATATATATATATATATATATATATATATATATATATATATAAATATATATATATATATATATATATATATTATATATATATAGAATTGTGTCAACTTAGTGGACGTCCACTAAGTTTCTTAACCATTGATGATGCACTTGATTAAGCTAACTTTGTGGATGATCCGCTCCGTTGAACTTGATCTACATATTACTAAACATCAACACACCAATTTGGGTGAACCCGTCGTGGTTTGGACCGCCGTCGAGCCATGTAAAAGTTCTATCATTTGAAACCATTGAATATTGATACGATTGGATGAGGGTCAACCATGACGGATTCACCCAAATTTGGTGTGTTGGGGTTTTAGAATTCATGTAGATCAAATTCAACGAGCGGATCATCCACAAAGTAACTCAATTCAAGTAATCAATCATAGTTTAAGAAGAAATTAGTGACGTCCACTTAAGTGACCACAAGGTTTTACTATATTTATATATATATATATATATTATATATATATATATATATAATATAATATATAGTAATATATATATATTATATATATATATGTATAATATATCATATATAGAGAGAGAGAGAGAAGAGAGAGAGCAAAACTTCTGTCAACTTAAGTGAACGTTCCCTAAGTTTCTTATCCATTGATTCACTTGTGAGCTACATTGTGATGATCCGTTCCGTTCACTTGATCACATATTCCTAAAACCCAACACATCAAAATTGGGTGAACCCGTCGTAGTTTGACGCCTTCATCCACTCGTATCAATTTTAACGGTTTTGAGTGAATAGAACTTTTACATGGCTCGACGGAGGGTCAAACCAAAACGAGTTCACACCAAAATTTGGTGTGTTGGGGTTTTAGAATATGTAGATCAAGTTTAACGGAGCGATCATCCATAATGTAGCTCAATCAAGTAATCATCAATGGATAAGAAACTTAGTGGACGTCACCTTAAGTTGACAGAATTTTGCTCTATATATATATATATATAATATATATATATATATATATATATAATATATATATATATATATATATAATATATATAATATATCACTCTTTTTGCATATTAAACTAAAAGAAACCTTCAGCCAATTAGATTCTGATTTTGGCATGCGCGGATATGCAAAGAGAGGACAATATACATGCCATCAAGAGGACGCATAAAAGTTTTTTTTTTTTTGCTTAATTTAAGGAACTTAAGGACAGTGAAGTTGTTTTGTGTGAAAAAATATATCAGCCCGTCATTAATAAATAAAACTTCCAAATGTTATCAAAAGACGAACTTTTGAAGGGCAGCAATCCGGTATATGCTGAAACACTGGGCTGATTGGATAAAAGGAAGTTTATGAGATTAAAAGGTAAAAATATGAAGCTCCGGGAAATTGGCTTCGTTGAAGCTTCTGCCTGAGCCAAGTTAGGAAGGAATCGAAATTATGGTTCTATGCAAGTTTGATGGGTAATACTGCAGATAGAAGCTAAAGATATATTGGGTTTTTTTTTTTTTTAAGTTTGTGATTTGTTTGTGTTTGATGAATTTCAATTCGCTAGATTTTTAGATGTGCAAATGCATGTAACTAGCTCGATCTCTTAGGTTTCTTTTCTTAATGTGATGCATTGTGTAGACGATGAAGGAATCGAAATTCTGGTTCTGTGCAAGTTTGATGAGTAATATCGCAGAGAGATGCTAACAATTTTTTTTTTAAGTTCGCAATTTGTTTGTGTTTCAGGTATTTTGCTTGATTCTTATGCATGCAAATGCATATAATTAATTCTCTTTGGGTTTCTTTTCTCAATGTGATAAAGCGTACCCGACAGATTGTGGTTTTTTTATATCGGGTTTTCTATAGAGTGCCCATGGGCACTCTATAAGTGAGGAGAAAGATAGGGAGAAATGAATGAGGAGGAGATCTCAATGCAAATTAGAGGGGCCCTCTCTTCATTCATTTCTCTCTATCTCTCTCTTATCTTATAGAGTGTCCATGAGCACTCTATAGAAAAACCGTTTTTATATTCATACATCACGCATTTATGAGACTGTCTTTGGTTTTTGCGTTTAAAAATATGCAAGAAGAGAGACAACGCAGCATCTCATAATGTGAATTCTCTTTAGGTTTCTTCTCTTAATGTGATATATTGTGTACCTGACGGATTGTGCTTTCTTGATATTCATATTACACCTTTATGAGGTTGTCTTTGATTTTTGCATCTTAAAATATGCAAGAACAGAGACAATATAGCATCTTATAAAGTGATAAGCGATGCAAGATACTATTCGTGAGATCGCTCTTAATATTAAGAGAAAAAAATAATTAACAAATATTAATGTGACAAGTGATACAAGGCACTATTTGTGAGATCGCTCTTAATATTAAGAAAAAAATAATTAACAAATAATTCTGCTATTATCTGTCATCCAGCTATTCGATCATATTCAATTTGACACCTCATTAACAGAACCCGGGCCTGCAGTTTCTGAGCCAAAGCCCAGAACCAAGTGGGCTAGTGAATATTTAGGGACACGTGCCGAATAGGATATATATAAAAGAATACGAACATGAGAACCATTAATTGTGATATTCAATCTGAATTCAAATTCGAATAGTTGATATTCAACCAAATTCGAATTCAAATTCAACGATCTTTACAGTCGATTTCACTGGTTTTCTTTTCTTTTTTTTTTCTTTTCCTTCCCTTTCCCTTTCCCTTTCTCTTTCTTTTTCTTTTCTCTCCCTTCCCCTCAAACCAAACACTAAATTCATAAAGTTGAAAATGTGGTTTTTATGGTATGACGTCAAATTCAATTATTTGGTTACTAACGATCGAGGAACTTCCTGACTCTTCGCTATTTAGTTTAAACAACACGCTTGTCTAAATATACACTTATTATGCAAATTGAAATTTAGATTTATGTCCATTATCAGGTCTACTTGAATAAATTTACGACTTGACAGGCCACATTTAGATTTATGCACATAATTTGCACAAACAGTCATTATATCTGCTTGCGCTTTACAGTAAATATAGGAAAGAGACTACAAGACTCATTGGCAAATCATTGCTCCAGTATTTGTCAAATATAGGCTTTGTTTTACCTGCGGAGAGGCCATCTCTGAGCAACATAGCTACATGCTGAAATATTTCCTTCTCTGTTTGTAGTAATCACGTATCCAACCTTTGATCAGCTCTACTTCTGACTCCCTCAGCTCCACTAACCACTGAGGATCCTCAGGGCTCGAGGCTCGCAAATCTACGTGATGAGCACCTGAGGAATAAATTCATGAGCTTGTTGGTTCAAAACCGTAGCTGGGTGGCCGGAGAAGTGAATTGACAAGAAAACTTGAGATCACAGTACCTAGTTCTGTCACAAGTGCGGTGACACTCTCTGAGATGTTCGCCAGCACGCTGTTGTAAACAATAAAGATGCACATCAAACTCCTGGAAGTTACTTGGATGACCATGTGAATATCAGATAAATAAAAATTAAATAACGAGCATTACCCTCCACCACTCCAAGGATCTAGAAGACCATTGGAGAATATGATGTTACTGCCAAATGTTTTCAATGCCCTCCTAATATCCTACAGGATAAAAATTCAGAGTCAAGAGAAAGGCCTGTAGAATTTCAACGAGCAGAAAAGAAGGAAGCTTGCAAATTCTACCATCAGTGGATCCTTGTATTGCAGAAATAAATAACGTATAGCATGAGAATACACAAGCTAAAATTGAAACAACAAGGCATACAACCAGAGAAATCTTATGCATCCTTATTGAGGGCTATTTCTTGCTTTTAAAAAAAATTCAGAAAGAGCAACACATTTAACAGCAGTATAACAAATCTTTCATTCTACATCATCAGGAAAATATTTTTTTCCTTCAATTTCAACTAAAATTTTCCGCAGGAGCATTTAAGTTGGTCCCCTTGTATACTTGGTTGATCAATTTTGTCTCCAAATCAGCAAGTGGTTAAACCTGCTGTGAAAACCTTCAAGGATCAAATTTATAGCAGGTGAACCAATATTTGACTTCTACAGTGTAAAGGTTGATGAAGTTGCTAATTCATCTTATGTCTATGACAGCGCAAACGTGTCACTTGCATCACAAAATTGTGGCTATTCAGGCAACCTCATATTTTTTTTCAATATGACTCCCTTAAATTTTTAATGTTTTGGAATTAGTCCTCAAATCATTGAAATTGTTATTAGGTGCCCCAACTCTTATATCTTGCTACCACTACCCTTGACTGGCAGGGTCAATTTGAAACAACTTATAAGAATTGGGAGACTGATAACGACTCTAATGACTAGAGGGACAAATTTTGAATCAACTTATGAGAATTTGGGAACCTCATAACAATTTCAATCATTTGAAAGACTAATTTCAAAACATTTGAAGATTTAAGGGTCTAATATAATAATAATAACAACAAAAGACCTAAAACAAGATACAATGAGATAAAAAAGCAAGATGCCTAATGATAAAAGCATGTTCATAGGATAAGCTACTTGACATGCTTACATGGCCGCCAAATTCAGTGGTCATCCATCGAGGCCTTGGTGTGACATTATAAGATTGAACACACTGCTCTTTATATGCAGTGTAATCAAAATCATAAGGCTGAAACATGCTATTTTCTCGACTGCTGGACATTGGCATGACCATCTCTGTACAAGCCTATCATGCAAGAGAACAGAGGGTAAGTTGCAACTCATAGCATTTTTTGATATATTAATCACAGAGAGTTTCAGGAAATATAATTCGTCTTTCTATGCTACTAACCTGCCAGTCCCAGCCACTCAGCCCATGAGGATCATCGTCCAGATCAAAGCAGCTAACATTTCCTGTATAATTATAGTAGATACTTGCTCCAGCAAAAATACGATCCAACAGATCATTTCCATTAGGATCGTTGTCAATTCTTTTGCATACCTATAGAAAACAGAAAAGCATTGACAAAGACAAGGGTAAGAACAAGCAACAAATATTTGGCAATCTTTCCCTTGAGAATTGATTCAAGCTTCGTTCTACAATATTACCATTATTAGGGGGAAATCATAAATAAATGTGTTCATTTATTACAACAAAAAATATAGCTAATAATGAACCTCAATGAAAAGGAGCTTCGCGTCATTAAGAATCTAAGTGAGTAGCTCAAGGATTGAGAGTAGCTTGAGAAGTTCTCATAAGAATTTGCCAGTCTTAAGCTTCTATTACTTAAAAGCCATACTCTGACTTGCCATTTTGATAGCGAAGGCTCAGAGTATGAAGTTTCTTTAGTTGACAGGTAAAATAGGATTTGGATTATCATCCTCTGATCCTTCACCATCAAAATGGCAGAGTCATGGAATATTTGATCTTCAAATAATAGAAGATCCCTGGAGGGACTAGCTAAATTCTTATAAAAACTTCTCGAGTTACTCTCAATCCTTAAGCTACTAGCTCTATTAGTTGGCTGAACAGTCCTGGGGGATAGACTTCTCACCAAGTTGGTGAGATTTAGCGTGCAGCACTTTTCATGAAGGCTCACTACTGGGTAGATTTTTTTCCCCTTGCTAATGATCATGTTAACAGTAGACAAATGTAAAACAAATTGAACATAGAGAACTAAGGTAAATTCTTGCAAGTTTAAGTTGCTAGTAACAAAAGCCTATTGACAAGATGGAAACTTTAGCATGTACGGTATGCTACCAAAATTGTAAGGTACTGAAGATCCATAATCCAATTAATTAGGTGCTGGTGCGTCTTCATTTGATGAATTCACCATCATCAGACAAGATGAACATTGGACTAGAGCTGCAAGATACCACTCAAGGTACACACTATTCTCCCAGAAAGCCATCCAATTTAGTAAAAGTAGATTACAGATGAAACACAAACTTATGAATATATAACCTAATTCGTGAACAAATTCACAACTATCTTGGAAACCTATGTCTGTCCACGAACCTCCTTGATAGGGTATGCAGGCAAAGGCATCATAAATCCAGAAGGAAATGGATAGTTGACCATGGCCAGGTAGCTATATGCAGAACTCAACCAATCTGAAAGTTGTTGCGTATTGTTCAGTTTACTGCACATTGTCCAAAGAAGAACATAAAACAATTAATTGCACAGTTCGTAAAAAAGATCATTATAAGATTCTAACTATAAACTAATTTGACAACAACCAGAAAAAGATTATTCATCTTACTGGCACAAGCGGAACTTTCTGCTCAAACTTGTTAGGCCATCATGAACCTTTCCTAGTCTATCCAGTGCATCCCAGGACTTCTTAATTGCTTCAAAGCAGCTCAAACTTTCACGCTGAAACCAGCAAATACTGACAGTCACAAAACTAAGGGTGTTAACATGAATTCTAGATGAAAAGATTATGCAGGTACAAACTCTGAAATCATTGGAGACAATGTCGTAGAAAGTCTCGGGTGGAACTATATCTTCAAACTGCAGAATGGGCGCTGATGAAGCAAGGGCACCAATTGCAACATGTGGATATTTCAGCCTCATCCATGCAGCCAGCACTGTTCCGTCATTGAAATGAAAGTTATGCCCAAACTTCCACAAATTATATCTTGGAATTCAAGAATTACTGAGTAAATAAAGTCTACTAAAGAATAAATATGGAAAGCAAAAAAATAACAAATTCTTATATTGAAACGTGATGATGTCTCAGAGATAGAAGCCGTTAAACAGGAAAATGAAGTACAGACTAATGTATCTCATTATACAGAGTTAGATCAAATCTTATTCGCAAGAGGCAAAATGTCAAGTCTTTCTAGCTGAAGGTTATATTAAGGTCCCCGACGAGCATTTAAACTAGAATGAGATAACGCCAATAAAAACCAGTTTCAAATGAGTCAAATGTTGTCAAATGCTTGATGATATTGCAACTAAGTGATATCTGTCTTATATAATAATTTTCTTCCACAATTTATATGAAAATGTCCACATTTATCTTCATGATATTGCAAAAGAGGCTTACTTCCAGCATAAGAGCCTCCAAATAGCACAACCGGACTTTCTTCAGATGACAGGTTCTGCTTCAGGTCAGTGAGTAATACTGTAAAATCTGCAAGAGCTTGCTCAGTAGTGAAATAGGACATAGACTTAGCATCCTTATATGCTCTCTCTTGGCTTCCATATGGCATGGATTCCCCATAATAACGATGCTGCCATGACAAAAAAAGAAAAAGAATAAGGGGAATCAGAGAATTCAGGACTAAACAAATGAACTTGTTGTGCCACAAAATATTTCATATGACATGTAATTAACCATGTGTCCTTATGTGATCAGCATATGAGCGGAAAAGAGTAATCCACAAGCCACCATCGAAGCCTCCCCATAGAGAGCTCAGGATAAACTTGGGAGCCAAACGCCATTCTCTAGAAAGGCCCTCTGACAAAGATCTTTAACCAGGTTGAAAATGCCCTCCTGCACACGTGTCTACCATTTGCGGCCTCACCTTTTTAGGAACAAAGGACAACGGTCAAAGAATAACCGCCTTACACTATTAAATAAATGACGACACATGTTGTCTCTGTTAGTTATTATTGATAACTTGGTATTAGCAGATTTAGTAGATTTTATGAGATATTGTTAAGATGTTGTGAGATGTGATTGAACATGATTTTATCTCGTACCTATTATTTAGTATCTTCCTAATCTCTATTTAAGAGAGGTTAGAGTTAGATGAATAATGATCTTTTGCCTTTTCTATTTTCTCTACATGGCACCGGGGCCTACTCGATCACTAGCAACATCCTCCATTTTTCTAGCTCTCGAGGACATTGAGGGGATTTTGCGTGGCCTTCCTGGTCCCCTCGACGGCTACGACAATATCTTCCGTAGCTTCGATAACATCTTTAATTTTTACATCATATGTTTACTAAATCTTTGTTGAAAAACTCAAAAGGGGGAATGTTAGAATAGCTGAGTACTTTATTTCTTGTTTACCAATTTCCTTTATCTTGTACCCCAAGTTTACTTGTACCCCAAGTCCCCTCATAGCCTAAGTTTCCTTTCCTCTGTTTAAAGAGGTGAGACATCCATAATAAACTTATCTCTTGGCTTTTTTTATCTATATCGTATCAGAGCTTACTCGATCCTAGCAATTTATCCCATCTTTCGATCCTAGCAATTTATCCCATCTTTCAATCCTAGCAACTTCTCCCATCTTTGTAGGTTCAAGGCCATCCAGGAGGGTTTTGCATGGCTTTCATGCTCCTCTCGGTAGCTACGACAACATCTTTGATGGCATTGATGGTTTCAACAACTTTGACATCATTGTTTTCTAGATCTTATCAAACACTCTTCACAAAATAACCTCAATAAAAAAATGTAGCATTTACTGCACACATGATGAACAGTATCCGGCATTACTGCTCACTTGATGAACAATAATCAGAGTTATTCGCTTTTCAGCATCTTTGGTAGTTATATGCAACGACAGCGGTCCTCTTTTGACGTTGTTTTTAATGGCTTATCAACCTAGGGTTTTCACTAGCGTAACCACCTAGAGTTTCTATTGGCTGACCCGCCAAAGATTTCTACTGACTGACATGCCTAGGATTTCTACTGGCTGACACGCCTAAAATTTCTACTTGCTAACCCATCTAGGATTTCTACTGGCTGACTTGTTAAGATTTCTACTAGGTGACTACCCTATATAATTTCCACTGGCTGACCCGTCAAAGATTTCTACTGGCTGACACGCCTAGGATTTCTACTAGCTGACTTGCTAAGATTTCTACTGGGTGACTACCCTATATAATTTCCACTGGCTGACCCATCAAAGATTTCTACTGGCTGACACGCCTAGGATTTCTACTGGCTAACCCACCAAGGATTTCTACTAGATGACTTGCTAAGATTTCTACCGGGTGACTCGCCTAGGGTTTCTTCTACTAGCTTACCCACCTAGGTTTCTACTGGTTGTGACTATAATATTCTAACCGCTGACGTATTTATGTATTCCAAACAAAGATGACATTACCCAAGCTCTCGTAGATAGTTGTTTTGCTCCCATTTGTAACAGGCTGGGCATATATAGTATTTATGCTCCAGCTTTAGAGGAAGTGTTAGATACTATTGGTAATTTAGTATTAGTAGATTTATAGATATTATAAAATATTGTTAAGATATTGTGAGATGTGATTAGATATGATTTTATCTCACACCTATTTTGTAATATCCTTCTAATCTCTATTTAAGAGAGGTTCGGGTTCGATAAATAATGATTTTTTGCCTTTTCTATTTTCTCTACACAGACACACACACTCTCTCTACNGAACAACGATAACTTTCTCTAACTTAACTTTTCTAGGACTTCTGCCATTTTTATGATTTTCTAGGGACTTCTGTTAGGGAATTTTAGTCTCCCCGTCTACTACGATCTGCGCAACTTCGAAGCCAACCCACAATCAACAAGATATAAAACGATCACAATCAAGAAAAAAACACCGAGATTTATGTGGTTCGATCGACCAACTTCGACCTACGTCCATGGGACAACAATACGAGAAATTCACTATGTATCAGGGAGAACTACAAGAGGAACCACTCAACTCTCGTTTCTCAATCTCTCAACCTCACATACATAATCAACTCTCATATTCTCTCCAAAGTCAATCCTTGTAATCTTTCGCACTAATAAAGATCACGAAACTCTCGTCTATCACACAATATTCTTGAATCAGGCTACGCCCTCTACTAACCCTAGATTACAAGAATATTGGCTCTCTCTCTACTACATCTTCTCTCTACTCTCTTCTTTTAGTTTTTCCTCCAACAATAGAAGAATATATATATAGAGAAACCAAAACTCTATCTCTAACCTAACTTCCTAATTAGAATAGGATACAAAGTCATAATCATGATGGAACCGAAACTCCTAATCATGATAGATCTCTAACATTATCTAATTCTCATGAAGTTCTATAAAGAATCAAAGACACAATCCTAACAATCTTCACCTCGGATTTGATTCTCAAACTCTCATGAAGATATATCATTATCGTCTTAAAACTTTGCCTCTTCCGCTAGAGTCTTCTGTTTTTTTCGCACTTCAAATCGAAGCAGCCACACTCCTAATCAGAACACCAGCACTCCAACTGGTGTGCACTAAGAGATCTTCGTCACCTCTGACAATAAAAGTAAATCAATCATACTTGTCCTTGAGCCTGACAATAACCTCCCCCTATTTGTTGTCCTTGTGCTCCACCTGCATCGCTCATCTCGAATCATATCGGTGCACCTCTCCTACTCCACACTACCAGCGGAAGAAAAATTTTACCCAGCAACAAGTACAATATAAGAAAGGAGCACGATGTGATTCGAGAGCGCTGAAGTAACTCAAAGTACGGAGTACATGTTAAAATCACAACAAGATCAAACAAAAACAAAAGACTTGTCACAGTCGACGGTCTCAGAGTCGCAATTTCGATCAACAGCGGGGAAATAAAGGCACTGCTTGTTACTTCGAGGATTTAGGGACCAGCAGGACAGATTTACATTACCCAGGAGATTCTTGAAGGACAAATGGTCCCATCGAATCATATCGGTGCACCTCTCCTACTCCACACTACGAGCCGGATACCTCTATCTCCTCCATCACTTGGTTTGGACCGAATATGAGCGCTCATCGTCTTCAAGTCCAATGTCATCATCTCCATTACCCTGTGTGTCACTGTTTTGTTCAAAAGTTGGTTTTGTCATGGAATTCATTATATCTTCGGTCGATTACAATAAATTCAAAAAAAGAGATAGCCTTTTTATAAGACTTCTTTTACACAACAAAATGAAAATTACAACTCTTGAGAAACAAACGCAGGATCGTTGTTTGGATCGCTGCTTGCGTAGGATCTTGAATCGTGAGGGGTTTATGATTCTGACTTCGTTTATCGAAGTGAGAACTTGAAACGATATATTATCGAAGTAAGATAGTCGTTCTTCTTGAAATCAAGTCAAAGCCTGAATATCAAGGAGTTGCCGGAGGCTCAAGAACTCTGCTCTCTCCCTGCTCTGGATTGCTCTGAAGTGCTCAAAATGATCAACCTCCTTCAAAGAAATCACCTCGGGGTATTTATAGCCCGTTGATGAACAGTGCTCGGGAGACAGCATTTGCTGATTTATAACCCCTGTATGAACAGTGCTCGCGAGACAGCGTTTGCTGTCTCGGCGGGCGAGACAGCGTTTGCTGTCTCGCTGGCCGAGACAGTGTTTGCTGTCTCGCCCAGCGAGACAGTAAATTTGCTGTCTCGCCCAGCGAGACAGTAAATACTGTCTTGGAAAACGAATATTCTTGACAGTTTCTCGCTGTAACTGTCTTCCCACGTTTTAAACTCCGTTATTCTGGCAGTTATCAACGTGATTCTCGCCCACGACGTTCCCCACGTTCTTGAACAGTTGGTGGCCACGTGTCGGCGGTTATAAAGTGGTTTCTAACTTCTTTGAAAACTGTCTCATGGGCGAGACAGAGAATGCTGTCTCGCGGGCGAGACAGAGAATGCTGTCTCGCGGGCGAGACAGAGAATGCTGTCTCGCGGGCGAGACGGAGAATACTGTCTCGCCTGGCGAGACAGAGAATACTGTCTCGCCTGGCGAGACAGAGAATGCTGTCTCGCCTGGCGAGACAGAGAATGCTGTCTCGCCTGGCGAGACAGTGTGTTCTTCTGCCTTTTTGGATGATTTCCTCTTGAGCTGTATTTGGATATCTTTCAGCATTTTTTGACGCCTACAGATACCCCCTCCAAAGTATTCCAGACTCAATCTTTTATAGAGGAGTTCTGGGATGCTTTGGATAAGATAGGTCTTACTTATGATCCTTTCAATGCTTGGTTGAGTAGATCGTGTAGAGGAACCCGTAGGTGGCTTCAACTTTTGATCTCTTTGTCTCTCAATCTATTCAGTGCTTTGTAGAATAGTTAAGATTCTTCCGGCATCGCGTTTATCGCTTGTCCATTGTAGAGATCTTGAATTAAAGCTGGAACTTGTACTTGTGAAATCAGCTCTTGTCGTCAAGTTGACACTGCATATACCCGTTTAGGGGTAGTCAGGTTATTCTCAAGAATATTTTAACTGATATTCTCCAGAAACTTCCTGTTGAGGATAGGGAAACAGTTTAGACTCTTATACCTATTTGGAGTATTCAGGTTATTCTTAAGAATATTC